CACGCAGCCAACATGGCCAACACAGGTTCGATTCCCAGCACCCCATATGGTCCCCTGAGCACCGCCAGGAGCAATTCCTGAGTGCATGAGCCAGGAGTAACCCCTGAGCATCGCCGGGTGTGACCCAAAAAGCAAAAAAAAAATAAAAGAAAAAATGGGAATAATAATGTTACTTGTACCGTGGTTGTCAAGATTAAAAGAAATAACAGGACTGAAAGAGTTTAAGAACAGAACTTGCTGCTGTGATGATTTCAACATGTCTTCACAGTCGGACTTGACACGTTCTGGTCTCTGAACTAACAGAAGGGCTGTCAGTTCTGACCTCAAGATCTCTGTTGGTAAAAAGACCAGGATAGATTTTCATGAATAGAAAAGGTGAATTGGAGAGATAGTACAGAGAAGAGGGCACTTGCATTGCACGTGACTGATCCAGGTTTGATCCCTAGCATCATATATGGTCACCTAAACACAGATCCAGAAGTGAGCTCAAGCAGTCCTGAGTGTGCCCCCCTCCAAAAAAAGTTTTGTTGTATTAAAAAGAAAAATAAATGTATATTGGGATCCTGTGCTTACTATGTAGTATATATGCCTAGTATGTGTATTAAAAATATGGAAACTTTATTCTTTTTAGTCTTCAATTTGTATGTAACAGGAAATTTTGTGCTGTTGTTCATTTGTTTGTTTTCTTTGGTCTTTGAACCACACCCAGCAATGCTCAAGGACTACTCTCAGCACTGTACGTGGGGTTTGTTCCTATGGTGCTTAGGCTTTTCACATATAAATCACACACTTCTGGGGTTGGAGAGATAGTACATCAGGTAGGGTGCTTGCCTTGAATGTGGCCAACACAGATTTATCCTCTGTGCCTCATATGGTTTCCCAAGGCCTGCCTGGAGTGATCTTTGAGCACAAAGCCAGGAGTAAGACTTGAAAACAACCAGATGCAGGAAGAAAAAAACAACAGAACAAAAGGCCTACCCGGGTTCGATTCCCAGAATCCTATATGGTCCCCTGAGCACCGCCAGGAGTAATTCCTGAGTGCACAGCCAGGAGTAACCCCTGTGCATCACCGGGTGTGACCCAAAAAGCAAAAAAAAAAAAAATACAGTAGACATTAGGAGGAAAGAAAGGGCATGAAGGCACAGCTATAAGACTTTGGGCATTTGAATCAACTGTGTATGCTACCATAGATGTTCTACGGATTTCAGAGTCAGAAAAACAGTAGAGCAGGTACAGCATTTGCTTTGAACGTGGCTGACCTGGGTTCAATCCCTCGCATCCATTGGGTTGCCTAAAAACCGCCAGGAGTAATCCCATAGTGCAGAACCAGGAGAAACTCCTGAGCATCACTGGGTTCCCCACCACCACCACCACAACCACCAAAAAATAAGAAATTTCATGTATCTCATCTCAATCTTCATCACATTCCATGCTGGGACAAGAGACGGAAGCCCCTGCCCAAACAATTCTCACTTTTACCTCCCTCCCCAGCATTTAGCTTTATTTGAACGTTTTGTTTCTCTGGGGCCACACCCTGTAGTGCTGAGGGGACTAGTCCGAACCTGGTTCATGGCAGACATGTCTGTTGATGCTTGGGGACACCATGCAGTGACAAGAATGGAACTCAAAGAAAACAATAGGACACTGGGGGAGGGGAAAAGTGTCTGCCTTAGACATAGGCTGTGGGATGGAGTGGAGGGGGTGGGAGGAAAACTGGGGACATTGGTGGAAGATAGTGGACACTGGGTTAGGGATTGGTGCTCAATGTTCACCTGAATCTCAATCACAAAGATATTTGTGACTTTCTAATTAGTAGTAATTCAATTTAAAAAATGCTTTAACCAGAGCACCTGCATGCAGAATACACCACACTCCAGCGCTTTGAGCTATCTTCCCAGTGCAATGCTTTTGAACTTTTATTGCTATAGCAAGACTCCTAACAGCCAAGGAGAGACATTTAAGCAGGAAGAATTTTTTCTCTAGTTCTGCCTCTCCCCAACCTCCTTTTAAAGAATAACAATATGTCAGCATCTTTTGTCTACTGTGCCTAAACTTGCACTTTAATTTTTTTTCTACTATTTAAAAATTTTACAAGGAGCACATATTACTTGATCATCAAGAAAAAGACCAGTAAAAATATACATAAAAGGAAAGCTAAATAGTCTGGGTTGGTTCACTTTTGTTGGTTTGCAAACAATAAATTATAATACAATGTTACTGAAATGATGGTATAGTCATAGAGGAATCAGAGAAAGTGAAAGTGGAAAAGTACAAAAAGCACCCTCAATTTCTGCTACCCTCCTCCCCCAAAAGCACAATTATAAGATTGTTACATTTTCTCACATTTCAGGTCACCCATTAAAAAGAAAGTTTGCTTCTTCCCTTTTCTTTATTATAGGTAGTACATTCATTCATTAAACAAATACTTATATGGATCCTTTATTGTAAACCAAGTATCAACTATTCGGCACATAAAAGATAATATGTCATATAGATTATAGGAGTCAGTTATTCCTATCTTGCAGATTAAGAAAACAAGACTCAAAAAGGTAAAGAAACTTTCCCAAAGTCTCCTATCTAATGAGATCTGAACATCAAAGGCCAGTTCCTGAAGGATGTGGCTGAATCCGAAAGCACTCAGTGGTCATTATCACCTGGCTGGCCTTGGGCAAGCCATTGAACTCCTGCCAGCAGCCATTACCTCATCTCTGCAGGGTTAAGGGTAAATCTAATAGTTCATATAAGTTAAACACTTTGTAAGTTGCAACACAGAATTTAAGGGGAAGTTGCTATGTTGTTTTTCCCAGTAGCTCATTTTAGACAGTCTTTCTTGCACAAACTCACTATCCCCACCCCAAACTGAAACCTCCTCAAGTACCAGAAAAATGTTCATTCATTTCCTTGTTGCTTATTTCCTTGATTTATTATTTCCCCCCAGAATCTGGGTCATACCTAGTGGTGTTCAGAGGCTCTTGGAGGTGCCTGGGGCTCTTGCATCCAAGGAATGCACCACAGCTCTTTGAGCATTTCCCCTTCCTGTTGTTACCTTTGCTGTTGCTGCTGCTGGTGGTGGTAATGCTAGCGATTAAACCCAGAACCTCAGGATCAGGAGATAGAACAGGGGTAAAGGTGCTTGCCTTGCATGTAGCAGACTCCAGTTTTATCCCTAGCAATAGATGTGGTCCCAAGAGCACCTCCAGGAGTGATGCTTGAGCACAAATTCATAAGTAAATCCTGAGCATCGAGAAGTGTGGTAAAAAATAAACAAACATACATATGAGGCATGGGCTCCATACTGAGTTATATCCCTGGCTCATTCGTTTCTGATCCCTCTCTGTTCCCAGTGCAGTGTCTGGCATGCATCCCTCAAGCCTTTACTCTCACTTAATTCATAACAAATGGCTGAGATTTCTATCATGGGCCAGGCACATAGATTATCATACAGCAGAGTTTCCTGCCTCTTGGAATTTGGGGAGTAGAGAGGTAGAGAGGGCTAAAACAATAGTAAACAAAATTAATTATTTAATAATAATTGAACCAAGGGCAATAAAGCATCAGATCATATTAGATATCCTTTGGGGTGCAGAGTTCTGAATCCAAAAGACAGGGAAAGCTGCCTAGAGCTAAGATAGATCGGACAGCTGGTAATTTGAAAAGCTAGATCTTAACCCAGGAATGCCTGGTTGTAAGTCCAGGGCTGGGGAGATAGCTCAAAGGGCTGGAGCACATATTTTTACATGCTAGAGGAAGTCCCCTGAGCACCAGTGGGAGAACTTCCTAATCAACATGTTGTGAGTAGCACTTGAGCACCACTTTCTTTCTCAAAGAAAGAAAATAAGAAAGAAAAAGAAAAAAAAAAATTCCAGGTGTTAGAACCATGAGAGGGGGCAGCAGCAGTCTCTGATGCAATTGAGAAGGCATGCTCTGTTCGCCTAAAAGAAGGTAGATTTAAGACTGCAGAGATAGTACAGCAGGTAGGGCACTTGCCTTGCACACAACTGACCCTAGTTTGGTCCCAGGCACCGATATGGTCCCCTAAGCACTGCCACGAGTGATCGTTGAGCACAATTGGGTGTGCTCCCCCTCTGCAAAAAAAAAAAAAAAAGTAGATTTCCAACTGGAACACTGCATGAATTTTTTTTCCCCTGAAAGTATGGCGGCAGACCTTCTAAGTTTTGGAATCTCTGCTCTAAAGCAGTGTTTTGTGTACGGACAGACCCATGCAGAGACCCATGAAAGACCAAAGGACCTTGTCATGGGATTCTCAAAATCTCAGAAAAAGATGCCAAACCCCCATGGGGAACTCAACAACACCCCCACACAACTCCCCCACCCACAAACAGAATCCTGGATTCTATAGAAAGATTTTCAAGACCCAGAAGAAAGATACCGCAATCATGGATGGCAAGTCCCTGCAGAGTTAAGAGTGAGGCCCTGCAGAGACAGAGACAAGATGCTAAAAGCCTGTAGAGGAGACAGAGCCCCTTAATAAGCGACTGTCCCTTTAGAGGAATCAGGGGACCTTGAACATTAATGCTCTTAACTCCGTTAGGGCCATGATACTTTAGAAACTCAGTAGAGAAATGCAACATACAACACCTTACACACACCAAAGTGTCCACAGAGCTGTGGGAGGCCATCCGTAGTTTCCCAGATAAAGAATTCCTGTTCTGGAGCCATCTGCAAGAACCAGAATCTAGGCTGGGGCAATAGTTCAGCAAGTATGGCACTTGCGGTGGACAAGGGTTCAGTCCTCGGCATCCCATATGGTCCCCGAACTCATCCAGGAGTGATCCCTAAGTAGAGCCCAGAGTACACCCTGGGCCCACTGGGTGTGCCATCTCCCTCCTCCCCCACCAGAAAAAAAAAAAAGAACCAGAATCTTTCTCTGTGCCTCCCAAGAATCTGGACCATAGAGAGAGCGACTCTTGAGTGCCCACGCCCGCAGCCGGAACACGGCCTAAATGCTGCTTCACTGGCATTGACCTTGGACCACTCACCTAGCAGCCCTGGGGACTCAGCGTCTCAAGTGCCCCCGGAGCGCGCCGGCCCCCGTTTCCTCCCCGGCGCGGGTGGGGCGCTGGCGCAGGGAGGACCCGGGCTGCGGCACGTTCCTGAATCTGGACTCCGGGAGGCGGGCGGCGGCGGGGAGGCGGCGCGTTTGCCGCAGTGACAGCTCCGCGCCGCGGCGGGCCTGGGAAACGGGCGGTGCGGGGCGCGCTCGCGGCCTTTCCCACCCACCCGGCAGGGCGTTCCCGCCGGCCGGCTTCCTGCAGCCCAGGGCAGGGGAGGAGGGCCGGCGCGGAGGGGCCGCTGGGCCTGGCAGGCCTGGTTCCTGGCTTTCTCTTGGCGTTTCCTGAGCCGGACCGGCCGGGGGAGGGGACCCGGCGCAAACCTCCCGCCCCGGGAGCACCGCCAGGAAATCGCGCCCTGGCTAAGTCGGGTTCCTCCTCCACCTCCTCCTCCTCCTCCACCTCCTCCACCGCCTTCTCCTCCTCCTCCTCCTCCTCCTCCGCAATGATGCTGCTTGTTGCCCCAGAATCTCGCCGTCCTTACCGCGGGCTTCGATGCGACCCACTTACCCACGGAGGCAGCCGAGAGACGAAACGGCACATCCCAGACCCCACCACACAGCGAGATTCCAACCCCGTGATGTAAGTTTATTAACTCCATCCTACGAACGAGAAAACGGAGACTTGGAAAACAAGCCAACAAAACAAAACCAACCAAGGGACTTACCCAGGGTCATCGGTACAAACACAGCGACCTATAAAATGATGTGCTTCCCGCAGGCGTGTGCTACAAACGCTCTGAGTCTGTTTTGTCACGGGGTGGTCAGAATCTTTGAAGTTAACTATTGTCCGTATTTTATAAAGGAAGAAACTGAGAAGAGAGAGGCCATGTGCTTCTCCAGTGTCACCCAGATACACAGCAGTTGAGCTGGGAGTTAGACTCTGGTCAGTTTCCAGAGCACAGGCCATCTCACTATTCCTCTTTCCCACTACTCAGGGTCACCTGAGTAAGAACCTTGTCACTTTTTGGGTCTTCAGAACCCCACCTGAAACTTGGCACAACATGGGTACTCAGGGGGGCCATGGAGCCTAATGAAGCACCTACCTTGGCACCTTCAGACAAGTGAAAATTCACCCTTTACTTGAATGTGGCCCAGATGTCAGAATTTCTGCTTCCCCAAATAGCCCATTTCCCTGCTAGGCAAACATAGTTGTTCTAAAATATAAATATTCTTTCACTCGTTATTCATTTTGTTTTGGTTTTTAGATCACATCCGGAAGTGTTTGTGCCTTCCTCCTCGTTCTGTGCTCAGGGATCGCTCCTGGCAGGTCTCAGGGGACCAGATGGGGTCCTAAGGTTGAACCAGGACTAGCTGTGTACAAATGCCTTACCTGCTGTATTACATTCTACTCACTGCTCATGTTTCTTGACTTAAAAAAAAAAGGAAGAAAAAACTACCTCCTCATGCCTACAATACATATTGCATGGTATTCTTAGACCTTCTCCCCCTTTCTTGGTTTTATTTTGTTTTGTTTACGCCCGGCAGTGCTCAGGGTTTACTCCTAGCTCTGCCCTCAAAGATCACTCCTGGTGGGGCACGGGGGACTATATGGGGTGCTGGGGGTTGAACCCAGGTTGGACACATGCAAGGAAAACACCTTATCTGCTGTACTATCTTTCTAGCCCTTTCCTCCAATCTATTTTAGAGAATCATGGTACTAGGGATCTAACCCTGGGCTCCCATATGTAAAACATGTACTTCAATCCTTTGAATCATCTCCCCCATTTTAGCCATATTTATAAGGGTATGCAGTATACTAAATTGCATTCCTTGTGAACTACTATCGACTAATCACCAAAGATTTCCCCTTCCTTTAGAGAAAAACAGTCCAGATTACATTTTTTAGCACCCTTTGCAATTATGCACCTAGGAGATGTCACATTTCCAGTAGGATAGAGATTAGGTGTTCATTTTCCTGACCAAATCCAAATTAAGAAGTATGTATGTTGGGCCAGAGTGATGGTATAGGGATCAAGGCACTTGCCTTGCACACAGTTGACCCTGGTTCAATCCCCAGCATCACATATGGTTCCCTGAGCACAGAGCCAGAAGTAAGTTCAAAATAGTGTCCGATGTGCCCCACCCACCCAAATATATGTTTTCTTGGGTCCAGAAAGATAGCTCAAAGGGTTGGACACATGCTTTACGTACTGGAGACCTGGGTCAGACCCCAGTACTATATGGTTCCCTTAGTACTTCTGAGAGTATCCCCTGGGCACTGAGTTGGGAGTAGCACCTGAGCACCACCAAGGACGGCCCCAAAACAAAACAAAACTGTAGAGATAAAGTATGCATGTCTTCTCAATACGTTCCCTTTTTCCCTTCCCATCTGCCAACTCGATACCAACCAGGGTAACCTTGGAAATAGCATGGTGAACATGACAGAGCTTTGCTCAGACTGGGTCTAGTTGCTGGATTGGGCGGGACACACATTGATCTTCTATTATATTTTAGCATTAACATTTCAGGACTTCTCTTTGATGACAGTTAGTCACTGAACTTATGTTAACTGCCACTAGGACTAACTCAGGCTTATTGTGATATCCTCCACAGCATGGCACATAGTCACACAGCATGGGATGTGATCTCATAGACATTTACAAAAGACATCCATCAAGTGTGGACTGTCCCGCTGACTCAGCTGGTCAGAAATAATCTGCTCATCAGCTTGATGCATTCTGTCCTGTCTATTCCAAGAAACGTTTTGAGGTGGTTTCCGTTGCAGCCTCAAGACCAGTTGATGGATAATTACAGAGCAGGAATCAAGAAGTAATGAAAGCCTGGACCAACAACCAGTGCAGAAGCTGGAAGGGGAAAAAATGAAAAATTGACTAATTATAGCAGAAATGCTAGGCTAAATTTTCTAAGGATAGTAGCTGTGACAGAGTAAAAGCCCAGGCTTGGAGTTTCCTGGCAGATGAAGCAAAGAGAGAAATAGAATGAGTTACAAATTATATGGAAAGTAGACAATATATGATCAGTGAAGCAGATCCTAGAACTAGGTTGGGTGAAACCCAACTCTACTATCATTTACTGGTCATGGGACCTTAACTTCTCTATGCATTTGTTTCTTCATCTGAAAAATGGGACTGAAAGAATAATAAACTGTCCTAGAGAGATAGTACAAAAAGGAAAGTATTTGCCTTATATGCAACTAACCCTGACTTGATCCCTGGCACCACATATGGTCCCTCAAGTACTGATTAGAGTTCACTCTTGAGTACAGAGATGGAAGTAGTCTCTCAGAGCTGCCGATATGCCCCTGATATATCCCCTGGAAGAAAGAAAGAAAGAAAGAAAGAAAGAAAGAAAGAAAGAAAGAAAGAAAGAAAGAAAAGAAAGAGGAGAGAGAGAGAGAAAGGATGGAAGGAAAGAAGGGAGGGAGGAAGGGAGGGAGGGAGGGAAAGGAAAAAATCCTCAGAATCATTGGGAAAATTATATTAATTAAGGCATATTCTGTTATAGGAGGCCTGGTTAACTGGCATAATAATTGGCTATTGCTTCTGGAAAACAGTATGGACGATTCTCAAAAAATTAGAAATTGAGCTCCCATTTGACCCAGCAATACCACTCCTGGGAATATATCCCAGAGAGGCAAAAATGTATAGTTGAAGTGACATCTGCACTTGTTTGTTCATTGCAGCACTCTTTACAATAGCCAGAAACTGGAAGAAACCTGAATGCCCAAGAACAGATGACTGGTTAAAGAAACTTTGGTACATCTACACAATGGAATACTATGTAGCTGTTAGAAAAGATGAAGTCATGAAATTTACATACAAGTGGTACAATATGGAAAGTATCATGCTAAGCGAAATGAGTCAGAAAGAGAGGGATAGACATAGAAAGATTGCATTCATCTGGGGAATATAAAGTAACAAAGTATGAGATTAATACCCAAGAATAGCTGAGATCAGCACCAGGAGGATTACTCCATAACTTAGAGGCCAGCCGGGTATCCTAGAGGAAAGGGCAGTTCGGATAGAGAAGGGAGCACCAAATAAAGGATGTTTGGAGGATCCTCCCAGGAGGGGAGATGCATGTCGAAAGTAGACTATGGACTGAACATGTTTGCCACTCAATGCCTCTTTTGCAGACCACAACACCCAAAAGGAGAGAGAGAACACAGGGGATTGCCCTGCCACAGAGACAGGGGGGATGGGGGATGGGGGTGGGAGGGATATTATCCATGGTGGTGGAAAATGGGCACTGGTGGAGGGATGGGTATCTGATCATTGTATAATTGAAACCAAAGCACAAAAAATTGTAAATCTACAACTTAAAAAAAATAAAATAAAGGGAAAAAAATAATTGGCTATTGTCTTATAAGAAGAATCAGGTGAGTGGTTGAATGAAGATAGAATTTCTCCTGTACCAGTCTTTCAGAAGAACCCCAACTAATACAATGAACACTTCCTCAATTGGAGTTTTGTGACTACTCTGGTTCTGTCACATGCTTGCTTTTCTGGTTGGATTTGGGGCCAGACAAGCCTTGGAATCCTATGCACTAGATCGATAATCTGTCCCTGAGGCAGCTGAGCTCAGCTGTGAGGAGCAAAGAGGCTAGTATCAAGCAGACCCAGGTAGATCTGCACACCTCTTCAATCTGTTTCTTCATCTGTACCAGAGATAATGACAAATATCCCCTCAGGGTCAGATGTGTGGTCCAGCAGTAGAGCACTTGCACTGTAGGTGTGAGGCCCTGGGTTCAGTTCCTGACACTGCAAAAAAAAAAAATGAAAAAGATAGGCTATATCAAATAGTACCTCTTGGAGAGATAGTATAGCAGATAGGGCATTGCCTTGCATGCTGCCAAATTGGGTTTGATTCCCAGCACCATATATGGTTCCCTGTGTACTACCAAGCCTGATCCCTGAGCACAGAGACAAGACTAAAACCCAGAGCACAATCAGAGTGACCTATATCTCCCCCTCCAAACACACACACAAACACACACACACACACCATAAAAAGCACCTCCTGAAGAGAATAATCACAAAGATTCAAAGATTAAAGGAAAGACTATATACAAAACGGTTTTTTTTTTCCCCAATGGCACCATAATAAGAGGAAGACACACAAGAGGAAGAGCACACAAGCACAGACAAAACCCAGAAGAAGCTCACAAAATAAAGCAAGGTTATCTTACCTGAGATTCCTGGAATGTGCAGAGTATTTTCTGAGTGTGGTTATACCTGGTGG